CTTAAACATGAAATTCTGTTATAGGTTAAACATGGAGCATAGTCACAAGTAATTGTTGTTTCCATTTTTCACTAAGTTTACTCCATTCTAATGCAAAAATATCAGCAATTGGAGTTTTTACTGTATATCAGTAGACAGTAAAATTCTTCCCAATCTATTTACAAGAACTTGAAGGGAACTATTCAGTTGGACCACACACAACTGCAATAATAAATAATTGCCCATTTCATGTCATACCCTTGATTATAATTTTAGATAAACCAAGATCTTAACTGATCACTTTACAGCTCATTTGATTGCCTTCTGTATAGTTCTACAGTATAGCATTAATTCTGAAACTATGAATATTTTATCCATTGTCTATTCTGTAAAACTTTCTTTTTATATTTCTTATCTTTTCATGGTACTTTTTCTGTTTTATCAAATTTTTTTGTATTTTTAATGTATGCGAGGGCCTCAAAATATGGATGGGCTACTGACAGTACCCTCCTTAAACGTTACATGTCAATCCCAGTCATCAATGTTGTAGCCAGCTATTGGGACAGTCCCATACGATTTTTCTGGGTCCACAAAGAATGGGTCCAGAAGCATTTTATGCATAAAATGGGTCCACTTTTTGAAAAATGAGTCCACATTTCTTTTATTTAGCTTAAAATGGGTGCAGATTGTTCATATTTTTGCGTAAAATGGGTCCACATTGTTTGAATTTACTCAGAAAGTGGGTCCACCCTGATATTGTCCCTCACTGTTTGAAAATCCTGGCTACGGCATTGCTCCCAGTGGCAGTTCTATGGGGGATAGGGGCGGGGGACCACGTCCACTTTTTTTGTCGGGGACATCAGCCCTCCCATCGGGGACCTTGAACCCCCATTAGGAAAATCCTGGCATCCACCCCCTTCGCCCACTGATTGCTCCCAGTTCAGTACGGTTGTGTCAACTAAAGCGATGTATGTTGGATAGATGTGTATAAGAGACAGGTACTGTACAGTGCGCAAACAGGCTGTTTGTTTTGTTAAGTAAGTTACTTGATGAATTAACGTTTTTTCAAACACCATCAAATTCTGAAAATTTGAACTAATTTCGAAAAATAGGACGCCCTCTCCTAGGCGAAATTCGACACGATTTTTCCAGTGGCTTTCCTACTGTATGGATTTTGTCATGATCAATTGTACCCTGCCTATGGCAGGAAAAAAGCCTTATAAAAAAAGCATACTTTTTTCCCGAAATTCTGCCATCCTCCGAAAATAAAATTTCATCAGGAGTGCTCTCTTAAAAAAGGCCAAAAATATTAAGCTCCAGAGATGCCTGTACTACTGTACATATGTATTGAAAGTGTATATTCTTATAAAGAAAGAATAAATAAATAACTAAATTGCACTCCTCGATAAAAAAAGGTTGAACGTAGTTCAATGCCACAAAAACTGAATCAGACATACAGAACGAAATTGTCATCAACTAAGAATGTATTGGGGAAGTCAAAAGTCAATATAATCATTGGATGACATCATTACAATTACAACTTTCACTTTTAAAAAAATAAGATAATTCACAAAGCTACAAGTCATCTTTGACCATATATGTACTTGGCACATTTTTCTTTCTCCATCACTAGTTGCAAACTCTTTTTCGTTATTGCCAGCCTGGAAAACAAATTTATGCCACCAATATGAAAATTACAGTATCTTAAATGTCTACAGCACCAAATGTTGACATTGGTGGTCTCTGAGCTAAAAACCCCAAAAACCTAATTCCTCAGGGAAAGTCAATCAGCGAAAAATAAAAATTCCTGTGACTAGTTGCGCACATATTCCAACCTTGGTTTAATTTTAATGAGTTATAAATTATATTATAGTTACATTAATCTTCACAGAAATAATATTAAACATTTTTATACAGTATACAGTATATTTGATATCAATTATTTATCATTAAAATTCCAGATTTACACTGTAGAGTATACAGTCATTCAGTATTCATGAAAAAAACAAGATAATACAAACTATCATAGACAAATTAAAGGTGTGTTTCTACTGATAAACACAAAATAATCGATTTTTTAAAACCGTTTTTTTAATGAGTACCAGACAGCCTGCTGGCGTTGCATCTGCATTTTTTATTTTTCGAAAATTGGTTTGCGTGACGGAAATTACGTCACCATTTTGTGTATACAACACGTTTTTTTCCTAACTGTATAGGATAGTATCTTTCTCATTCCTGTCATGATGACGATGAGTAAGATACAATGTGGGGCAAGAAGGCAAATGTTTTCGGCTGTGCTCATCAGCACAATGAACGAGCGACCAAACGAAGACAACAGTAGGCCCAAAAGAGCGGAGAGGCCTAGGCCCAATATCCCCCCACAAAATAATTACAAAACAAATTCGTCACTCCTCATGTACAGTATGTTCACGTTTTTAGCTTGTAGGCCTAGGACATGAACAAGAGGACAATTTTTTTTGTAAAGTTCGCGCCTAATACGATCTACTGTAGTCATTGCAGTGATTGACCTGAAGGTCACATTTTTTGTGAAAAAAAAGTGGCCTCATTCTCCATTTTTCAAATTTTTATTAGGACGAGAAACTACTTTTTTTTTTACTTGGCCTTATTATTACTGTATTGTGAATTGGTTGCATATTCGGTCTCTCAGGTCCGGGGATTGAACCTTCACTGTGCATTGTGCCTGTTCTTGGACAAGACACTTTACCTACAGTATGTTTGTATCTCTCTACCCAGGAGTATCAAAGTGTACCTGATCGTTCACAACTGGGGAGGAAAAATACGTCATCGAAAGGAAATGGCCACCCTTCTGCACAATGGCGAGGCTTTATGATGGCCTAGCAGCTCATTCCCCTACGTTTAGTAATGAATATGGATATATTGGTTGATAGGCCTACAGTAATATGGATATGAAATTCTGTAAATACAATGATGAAAGAATGAAAAGACCATGAGACCATGAGGTGCATCATCCAAATGCTAGTCTTTTGTTTGTGCTGGGGATACTGTAAATCAACATCTATCTAAAATAGCGTTCCGCAAACTTTTTACCTCACAGCCTATTTACGATTCCAGGCACCAAGCCGCGGCCCAGCAGCGCCAGGGACCAACATACCAAATCCTGGCACAAACTTTAGATCATGAAGCCTCATGTATATACAATATATATACTTGACATCATTATCTGTTCTCTCGGTAATAAAATTTCATTGTATACAAATTAAATATTATTTTATTAAATAAATAATACTTACATTTGTGTTTC